ATTCAAGACCTGATACGGTCACTACGAGTTTCTATTTATGCCATGCAGACTGACCAAAGACGCCAATCGACCTATGTTAATTCCTAAGTCTTACAGACTATTATCATAGATTTTTCGAGAATTTCTCCAAAATAGCCGAGCCTCTCACCACTCTAACCTACAAAGTCAAAATTTTTGATTGGGGAGACAACTGAGATTCTGCCTTCTAGAAATTGAAATAATTGTTGTGCAATGCACCAATTTTGTCTCTTACAGAGGGAACAGAAAACATTGTAGTATTTTACGACGCCTCACACCAAGGATTGGGATGTGTGCTGATGCAAAAGAATAAAGTTATTGCATATGTATCCATACAACTTAATCCAAACAAGACCAACTACATTAGTCATGACTTAGAGTTGAGAGCTGTAGTGTTTGCCTTATAAATTTAGATACACTACCTCTACGGAATGAAGTGTGTCGTGTTCACCGATCACAAAAGCCTTCAACACATCTTCGATCAGAAAGAGCTCAACACGAGACAAAAAAAGTGTGTCGAATTGCTAAACGCTTACAAATGGAAATTTTTTTATCATCTTGGTAAAGCAAATTTCATGGCAGATGCTTTACATAGGAAAGAGCGAGCAAAGCCTCTTCGTGTAAAGGAACTGACCCTAACCACCTACTCGAACCTCACAACATGAATTCGTGATGCTTAGCTGGAAGCACTCAAACCCGAGAATATCATGGAGGAAAATTTGTGAGGTATGGACAAAAAATTCGACCTCCACGAAGAACACGATGTTTCATGAACTAAATTTGGACCCTAATGTTTGGTGAAGTCATGAGTCTAGTCTTAAATGAAGCTCATAAATCGAGATATTCGGTACAATTTGGATCAGATAAGATGTATCTCGATCTTAAGAAAACTTTATTGGTAACCCAACATGAAGGCAGAGATTGCCACCTATAACAGTAAGTTCTTGACTTGTTCCAAAGTCAAAGCAGAGTACCAAAAGCCATAAGGACTACTACAACAACCATTAAACCCGAAATAGAAATGGGGATAGATAACCATGTACTTCATAACAAAGTTGCCAAGAACTTTGAGTGTTTATGACACCATAAGGGTAGTGGCCAATCGTTTGACCAAGTCTGCCCACTTCTTAGCCATCAAAGAAATTGACAAGATGGAAAAACCTACCAGGACCTATCTCAAGGAGATAGTTAGGCTATATGGTATACCAATATATATTATCTCGGATCGAGATAGTAGATTTACTTCCAAATTTTGAGAAATCAATGTAAAGGTTCCTAGGAACCAAACTCCATATGAGTACAATCTACCATCCTCAAACAGATGTACAAAGTGAAAGAATGGTACAAACCCTGAAAGACATGCTCCGCGCTTGTGTGATAGACTTTGGTAAAGCATAGAATACCCACTTTCCACCAGTTTTCATATAATAATAGTTATCACACTAGTATAAAGGTCGCTCCATTTGAGGCCTTGTATGGATGCAAATGCCATTTTCTAATATGTTTGGCAGAAGTTGGAATGCTCAATTAGCTAAAAATCAAGCTAGAGATACTCTACTCATTCATCCTGCGATCATTCATGAAACAACAGGAGAAGATCGTTCAGATAAAGGAATAATTAAATGCCACAGGTAGTCGTCAGAAAAGTTATACTGACACAAGGTGTAGACCCTTAGAATTTAAAGTAAGAGACTGTGTCCTACAAAAGTTCGCACTATGGGAAAATGTCGTTAGATTTGGAAAACGAGGTAAAATATATCTCTAATACATTAGGCCCTTTGAAATCCTGGAAAGGGTTGGTCTGGTGGCTTACAAACTCAATTTACCTCAAGAACTCATCAAAGTTCACGATACCTTCCACGTGCTTAATCTTAAGAAGTGTCTCTCTAATGAGAACATTGTCTTTCCTCTCAACGAGATCCAGGGTTAACACTAAACTTCATTTCGTGAAGGAACCGGTGGAGATCGTGGATCAAGAAATCAAAAGCCTCAAACAAAATCCGTATTCCTATAGTAAACACCCAATGGAACTCTCACAGAGAGCCGAAGTTTACTTGGGAACGTAAGGGTCAGATGAAACAAAGGTATCCGCAAATAATCAGCGGTGTTCCCTCCACTAGTAGAACAAAATGATAGTGGAAAAAAATAATCTAGAACATAATAATTTCGGGACGAAATTCCCTTAACGGGGAGGCAATGTACCATCCCGAAAATTAGGTCAAAAACTGTGAACGGTCAAGTTCATAGTAACTCTCTTGGTAATTTGACTCATTCAGTTTTAGTGCATCTAATGTAAAATAAATGAGTTATTTCAACTATTATAAGATACCATATGGTATCTTACTTCCAAATATGTAATATGGCAAACAAATCAAACAGCTCAAAATTACAACCCAAGGAATGCGTTTGAGAAACTGAAATTTCGTATTAAGTAGTTGTGAGCAAAGCAAACATTTTAGTCTTGAAGTACATCTTTCCCTATTTCTTACAATATATAGAACGTCCAAAACGGAATTCGTATGCAAAAGATACGACCGTTTTAAAAATCTAAAACCAGTATAATACTGTTTTTCTTAAAACCACTAAAACTATTTCTATTCGTTGAAGGACTTGCATACCTTAAATGAAAATTCCAAAAGTATTTTAGACTCCGGCTATAGCCTAATATTTAATTTCATATTTGAAATATTTTTGTAAAAATATTTATAAAAGTAAAAAATGAGAGGTTTTCATTTTAATTAAACGCGAAACTTTAAACGTCATTTCACGAAGATCGGTATAACAAAATTCAATTCTGTCAGCATTTTTGGAATCACCACGTTCTGAACCTTAAGCAAGCACTTTTAGAAAATTTTATATAATCAGTGTGAAAAAAGTTTATAAGAAGTATAATAACAAGGCCAATATATATGTATATATATTTTTGGTATCGTATGCGACTTCAAAAGATCCAAATTAGTCGTGTAATCAACATGGATATATGTTATATAATTAAAATTATATAACTATATAACAACACTATATATATATATATATATATATATATATATATATATATGTCACGTAACATTTCCAATTACCAATTAATATTATATATGGCCAAATTTGGACACTTACTATGTATAAATATTCAATTTCTCTATATATATTACAAACATACATGAAATTTTTTTAATATGAAAGTGTGTGAATATTATGTATGTATTATTTTTATAAAATGTCTCCAACCAATATACACATACATACAATAAGAGTATATATTAAATCTATTAAAAATATATATCCACACCAATCAATAAATTCATACACAAATACACACATACACAAAATACATAAGCCAAAATTGCAAAAATGATCCCTGTGGAATGTATTTTTTTTGGGTTTCAGTCCAAACCTCGACTTTTTTGGATTCATGGTCCTTTTGGCCTAGTTTGTACGCAAAATTGGTCCCCCGAGTTAACTGCCGTTAAGTTTTTGCTATTAACCTCCTCATGTGCATCTCACATGAGGTTATATTTGTCTTTTCACTTCTAAAGGACCATTTTTGCACCTAAAAAATATATATATTTTTAAAAAGTAATACCTTTTTATTTATTTTAATAATGAAAAAATAAAAGATATCTCTCTCTCTCTCTCTCTCTCTCTCTCTCTCTCTCTCTCCACCGTAAAAGCCCTTTCTTCCTTCATTCCTTCACAATGAATCTTTAATGGCTTCTTCCCCAGAACACTATATAGATTCGAAGCTGAAAGATTTCCCCAAGTTGTCGATCTCTTATGGGTCAAAAAGAGATCATTTTTTTTCTTGAATTCTCCGATATTCGAAGTAGCTTGTATGTCGTTTTTGAGTTCTATTACAACCAAGTTGTCGCAACCCTAAATCCATTTCCTCAACGCCACCATCAAAGAAATTAGGATTCTTTAGAACAGATCAGAAATTAGGCCTCATCACCTTCTCTCAAGCATTTCTTCAAGAACATAAAACAGAGTAAGAAAACCATTCCTTGCACTTCCCTCTAAACTCAAAATCGCATGAAATTTCTAAGGCTAAAAAGCCCCAAAAATTGCTTCTGAAGGTTTGCAGGCTTACTCCCATGGTGGTGTGACTTTATCATTCCATATACCCTGATGGTTTGTAGGCTGAGTTCCAGGTCTTGAACATGGAATAAGCAAATAACGAGCGTATTGGAATAACAACTCAATCAATGAAGGATCTTCATCTGTATTGAAAGATTTCACCCTCTCTGATGTTGCCACCATGTTTTCTGTCACATCTTTTGAATCGGTTTCGAAAGATCAGTCGAGACACGATGAAAAAGGTTATGGTAAACATCCAAGTGACGAGCGTAAAGTTGTTCATATGAAAAACCCTTGACCGAATTTAAAGTATTCAAAGCTTCAGATGTAGAGAATTTTCGTAGAATCTGAAGGCTGGGTGTAATTTCTTCATATTGGGTTTTTGATTGATTGAACTTCTATGAGTGTTCGCAGGTGATGTGGTTTGAACTAGCTGAAGTGGTGAAGAAATGAAGCTGGAGCAGCACCTGGTGAGATCGATTCCCAATTGTGGGGAAGGTTGTGGAGGGAGAGAGAGATATCTTTTATTTTTTCATTATTAAAATAAATAAAAAAAGGTATTACTTTTTAAAGGTGCAAAAATGGTCTCTTAGAAGTGAAAAGACAAATATACCATCATGTGAGATGCACATGAGGAGGTTAACAACAAAAACTTAACGGCAGTTAAGTCGGGGAACCAATTTTGCGTACAAATTAGGCCAAAAGGACCATGAATCCAGAAAAGTCGAGGTTTGGACTGAAACCCCAAAAAAATGCATACCACAGGGAACATTTTTGCAATTTTGTCAATACATAATTATTGAACCAATATAAATTCACAATAATACAAACCAAATTAAACAAATAAACACATTACATACATAATGAAACCAATACATTATACAAAATACATAAATAATTAAACGAATACATCACACAAATACATGAATCATAAAATCAATACACTGTTGCAAAGTTAAAATCAAGTACACCTAATTGACAGCCAAAACAAAATGAAACTTATACACTTTACCAATCATTTGCACAACTTTGGAGTGTTCATTTAACTTATAGAAAGCCTACAAGTTTTCCTTAACACTATCAATTATCATACTACATCGTACCAGTCCAGAGCTGGGTTGCTTGCTGCCATTCCCTTTCATTAATCGTGCAAGCGAAACGAGAACAAAACTCATACATCTTCTGATCACCATCTTCTTCATTCCCTGTCAAAACATCAAAACACAAACACACAATTAGGATCATCCATTGCTAACACACACACACACACACACACACAAAAAAAAAGAGGGGCAAAACAGAACACCCTTGATCGACCATTCTGTCAGTGTCATCATCCTTTGTATTAAATGCCAAATCAAAAAAAAAAAGAATCAAGAGGATTACCAATCCAACTGTTTCCTATTTCCTTCGTGTTTACTTCCGATCGAACCACGAGAAGAGCAGCCAAGAACAGCCACACCAAACCATTGATCTGAAAATCCTTGAATCTCTTTCCCTTTTCGCCCATCGCACCATTCTTCTTTTCCGTCGAGCTCCACTGCCGAAATCCCAGCCGCTTCGCTGCTTTCCCCTTTCCCTCTCTTCGGCCCCATCGATCCCCGGAAACACCGCCTTCGCAAGCAATCGACCCCAAAAATCCCCTGATTAGTCGCTGCGAGCTTCCTCTTGCCTTCTGTCTTCTTCGTGATATACAAAGACCGGAGAACTGGACGCAACACCGCTACCCTCGTACACCTCTTCCCCCGCCGCTTCGATCCTTCTCTTCTTCGGCCTCGTCAAACACCAGGAGACGACATCCTCCTTGGCGATCGATCGATCAAGCAAATCCGGATTGAGCAGCTTGCGAGCCTCCATCTCCCGTCTTCGCTCACTGCTTTGGCATTCGATTCGTATCCCCTTTTCCTTCATATGCCCGATCAAATAAAGAAAACGAAAACACGGGATGTAAATTTAAGTCCTAATTTCATTTAGTGTGTGAAAGGACCGAAATGCCCCCACTGTTAAACTCTTTATTTAAAATCAGTCCCAACCCCAATTATTGAATCAATTGGTTTAAAATAACCCCTCGTTTGATATTTTTTTACCAAAACAGTCCTAACCACTTAATTAAATTAACAAAAAGCCCCTATACTTTAGCGAAGTTACAAATCAGTCCCAATAATTCCAATTGTTTACGAAATCGTCCTGAGACTATTTTAAAGTTCATAATTATGGATTTACGATTTCTCACGTCAAGCTTCTCAAAGAAACCGAATTCGAACGACTGGAACTCACACTTCAAAGGTGAGTGGTACGATCCATTTTTAATATTTTAATTATTTAAGAGGGGGGGGGGGGGGGGGGGGGAGGATACATCTGCCTAAATATTTTTTTTATACAAATCAATTTCCTTTTTATGTGAAAATATAATAAATCTAATTTATAAAAATATTATTATTTAACAATTTACCATATTGTTACGAATAAACTAGTATAAATTTTCCGTATACGTATTATGGTTATTTTATCGTGAAATAACCATTTCGCAAAACAAATACTACATGATAAAAAATTATATGATTTTTATGTGACATTGCATATTGTAACAAGCATGTTATGAAACTATGTAGTATTTCAATGATTCAAGCTATCACTATGCATGTTTATTTATATGTTTAAGTACACAACGTTTGCACATGTACCTATGTTCATTAGTTTGAAACATTCATTTTTATAAAAGCGACCACACCACATTTTTACAAACATGTCAAACATACTCGACTTTTATAAACCTCATACAACGATATTCATTATACTTAGCGACTTAATCACAATTAAGTTAGGGCTGAGAACTATTCATAGACTTTTTAGTTAAGGGCGGTTGAGTCTAAACACTTAGCATACCCACATTACTATAACTGTTAATCTTCGAAGAGAGATACGTATGTATAGATCTATACGAGGTTAACATCCCCACCTGCAGTTGCTAGCTACAACCTCGACTGATCAATCGAAGCTTGTGATGGGTGTCTACAACTTTAACTACAATGTCCAATAAAGCATTGTAGGGGGTACATTTTAGTCACATAGCTCAGTTATAGAACTCACTATAAACATCAATTAGAACATCTCTCCCTCTCACTACAACCATGAGCTCGGTTGCTTTCAAAACTATTTTAAGTGTGGAATTACTTATGTAACAGTACAATTCGGTTTTCAAGGTCAAATATTCTTTACAAACACGATTTTTTTAACTATGGATTTACTTATACAAAGACACATTTTGGCTTTTAAAGACTCATTGCAATCACTGTTTCAACTATTGTTATTCATACAAAGATAATACTTTTTGGACATTTTAAAAGTATTACTGCGGTTAACAGAAAACCTATAGCTCTTACCAACCGTGTGTTGACCCTCAAAACTACATGTATTCTCAGAAAATCACTAAACATACATTCAAGACGGATTGGATTACAGGTGGCCTAGTTTACATGCTGTTGTAATATATTCGTATCTGTTAACGAAATTCATGTATTATTTTTATATGTAAAAACCTTGTATTCAAATATCAATATGGAACTCGAATGCTATTTTTTTATTGTTGTACTTGTGTTATATATTCAATTTACCTGTGATCCATGTACTTAGTCGCACATCCTGGCGTGTTCCGCCGCCTCAGCCGGGGGTGTGACATTAGCGGTCATTTGCATAAATCTACTCCAAACTAAGCTCAGAAAGTTGTAGAAGGATCAAGTGCAATAAATAGAATATAAATATGCCCCTTATGTTGATTACTTATGGGTTTGTTCTGTCCTATTGTGCCTCAATAATCATCAATAAAATTTAGCTAGATCTTGGTTTTGCCAACTATATTCAATAATAACTTATTGCACATCTTAATTTATACATAAATGAAAGAATTTCACTTTTTTATGTGGGTAAAATTGGAAATAGATCAAATTTGTTACATTTTCTGAAAAATATTGTTTGTGAATTGTGATAGTTTATGGTATCTTGTAGACATTGTTATGTGGGAAATTGCACTCAATTATTATAAACAACCACATGCTTTAACCCCATTACTCTTAGTATGGTTAAAAAAGGAACACTAACTAAATCAAATGAGCTTAGATACAAAAAAAATATGAACCTTTTTTAGGATAGGATCCATCAATGATGCAAAAATCGAATCTTTTTGGTGAAATTTCATTCAAACCTACAATTGAATTACAACAATAATTAGGTCACAAATAGGCAATTCTACTAATGCAGGTGGCTAGTTATAACATCCCGACTCCCAGGTATAATTTTTAAAAGCTTTGTATTCATTATAGAGGGAACGTGACGAGTTGGAGGCCCCAAATCGTCGTGTCGAACCTGGTGAGCCCGCGTGATTTATGACTTCTACTCGACGAGTTGGAGGACCACACTCGACGAGTAGGAGATGGAGAATAAAACACTAATTTACAGGGTTTTGAACCCTATTTAAAGGGTCATTAGCCTCCCTCTGCTTCCCTTATCATCCCCCTTGAGTTCAGAAAAACCTAAACGCGTTTACTCTCCATTTTTGTGTGCTAAGAAGCTTGGAATGTGGACTTTGTGAAGAGATCTTGAAGTCTAAGGAGCTTGGAGCAAGGAGAAGCTTGTGGATCTGATTTCTACTTCATCTTACCATCATCTGGAAGGTAAAAAGTCGTTACCTTAACTTCTCTTTAGCTAGATCTCTTCATGCAAAGCTTTAGGGCTATTTCTAGTTTGATGTGGAGTTATTCCTGGTTTTAGGCATGATCTGAAGTTGTAACTTCAGATCTGGACTCCCCTAACCCTTATAGTGATAAAGTTCTAGCCTTTAGCAAGTTATGGCCTTCTCCTTACCTAAAAATTCTCCTTTGGCTTGGTTTTGGGCCTTTAAGACCTTGCATGCACGTAAAGTTTGCAACTTTACATGGTAACCATGCCTTAGGAAGCTAGATCTACAAGTCGGAGCTTTAGGGTAGCTTAAAAATATCTGAATGAGAAATGGACTGAAGGGACTCGACGAGTTTCATGGTCAACTCGACAAGTCAGATGAAGATTGGCCGTTGTTGGTTTCTGCATGGACTCGGCGAGTCAATGAGACGTCTCGACGAGTTAGTTAGGGTTTTCCTAACATTTAGACACCGCATAGACTCGATGTGTTGTCTGGAAACTCGGCGAGTCAACTAGGATTTTCGATTTTTCGAGTTCTGGAAGAACTCGACGAGTCAGTAGAGTACACTCGACGAGTTTGGTCAACATGGACTGTTGATCTTGACCGTTGACTTTGACTTTGACCAAAGGTTGACCAGTTGACTTTTGAGGGTATTTTGGTAAATTAGGTATTTACGGAAATGGATCATTGATGGTTGTAGGTGTTGGTGTTTGGGACCGTATTCCGTGAGTTTGATATTTCAGTTTCGATCGACACTGTGAGGTGAGTTATCCTCACTATAATAACAGGGTCGAAGGCACCAATGCCGGCCCTTTTCGGATTTGTATCCGGGTTTATTGCATGTTGATATGCGTAGTGACCTGTTAGGTCAGTATCTTGGTATATAGGATGATGCTATGTTAGTGACCGGTTAGGTCGATATCCTGGTATATAGGATGATGCTATGTTAGTGACTTGTTAGGTCGGTATCCTGGTATATAGGATGATGTTATGACTAGTAATCCGTTAGACCAGTTTGACTATTATATATGCTAGCATATGATATTTATGTGCACATGATTGTTTGATTAGGGGTTGGGTTGAGGTGGTCATGCTTTATGCTCTAGGCCAACATACCTAGGGCGGATCAGATAGACTGCAGACCCGGTTAGGGCGTACTAGTCAGGCCGAAGGCCCGACGAGCGGTCTGGATAGGCTGAATGCCCTGAGAGGCGGTCCAAACGTGCTGATGGCTCAGAGAGCGGTCCAGATAGACTGATGGCCCTGCGAGGCGGTCCAGTCAGGTTGATGGCTCATTATGCATGTTGTTTATTTGTTTGCTATGATATAGCTATGATTTGTATGGCGTTGGTATTTTGAGGAAACTCACTAAGCTTCGGGCTTATAGTTGTTGATTATGTTTCAGGTACTTTTGAGGATCGCGGGAAGGTGAAGACATGATCGTGCACCTCCTTCTATTTTTATGATTTGATTCTGGGATACTCTGACATGGAACCATTTTGAGAGCAAATTTGTAATAATTATTGGTTTTTGAATGATTTAAAAAGTTTTAAATTGGCTTGAATTTTATGGATGTTACAAGTTAGTATCAGAGCCTTGGTTCGAGTGAAATGGAGGAACACTCATGTGAATCCAGTCTCAAATCAAGGAAAAGATTTTCAAAATGATTTTCAAATGGTTTTTCAAAATACTAAAGATGGATGCAGAGTGTACGATCAGCCGGAGCCAGTAAGTAGACCCCAAAATACCATACGGATATTTGATATTATGATATGATAGAATAGCATGCTAGCACTAGGCTAGGGTCCTTCAAGAATTGCATGATAGAATTGCCTGATTATATGATGCCTGATAGCCTAGGGTTTTCCTTATATGAAATTGACATCATTATTGTAGTTGCTTAGTGTATGCATCATAGTTGTACATAATTAAGATCTTATAGCCTGAGAATGTTTGGTTTGGCCTTATTTCCTGTTCTTGTTTGATGAAGGTCTTAGGGTAGGATCAAATATTTGAAGGTCTATAGGATCCAGCGTTATGTATGATTAGCATACACGAGTGCTGCAGGGTTGGTGAAAGTTTCATGGATGAGTTGTGCGGGTCAAATAGCCAGTTACGAGATATTTAGCTTTCCTCTAGGAGTAAGGATTTAGCATTCACCATGCATATGTATATTGTTAGGGTGTTTTGATGACACTTGAGACAAATATGTTTAGGTGTGGAAGGTAGTATGGGT